ATAATAACATATTCAAATATATCTTGATAAATATCGTTAATGGGAAACATTTTCTTCCTCTTAACATTGACACAAAAACATCTACACACGATTAGTAGGTAAAAATCATTAAAAATGTGAATCAATTTTTGCTGATTTAAAAATTTATTTGTATGCCTGTTGTTGTGATTCATTTTTACGGGTTGACATAGAAACGACAAAAAAAACTACTAGGATTATTTAGAATCAAACATGGCAATCTCCCAAACTCAATAGCAAAAGCCGCAATCTCCGTTTTTCCTTATATATTATTATTAGAACTGTCTAACAGGAGTTTATAATTATTATTGACTCTCTCTGCAAATGATTTATACAATGCCATCCTTTTTCCTTCCACACATACACATGGTTTAAAAGGTAGGTAGAAATATTAATAATTCAGTTTTAAAAGATAGGTTCACAATGAATTGGGATTGTAATTTTCAGGGAAAACTAGAGATGCACGAGTTTGATTTGATTTTAAGAGTTTGACTTGAATTTGACTTGAATTCAAATCAAACTCAAATCAAACCTAGCAGTGCTTTGAATCAAATCAAACAAAAATTTTAAAGTTTGAAATATCAAACCTTTTGATCAAACTAGTTTGAAAGTTTGAATAATTAAATCTCTATGGTTTGCAAGTATTTTATTAGTACGAATATAAAAAAGCTGCTTAATAAAAATAAAGTATTTATACTTCGTTTATTGGATATTAAAATAGAACAGAAATCTCAATTCACAAATTATAAATGTTGATTTACATTTTCATTTTTTCTTTATTTTAATGTTGAATAAAAGTCTGTTAAAACTCTATTAGCCGTCCAAGAATTTAAAGACATTAAACATCTAACATATTCATTATTTAGTATATTCCTTCGTTTGGTAATTGTTAGAGAAGCCCTTAACAAAATCCTCTATATTGATGCCGATGTAGCAGATATGGCTAAGAAATTTTTAGTCATTTTAGATATTGGAAATACAGTCTCGTGCCTCTTTCACCAATTCAATACATTTTCTGAACTATTAGCCCTGCCTTCAGATAAATATTTTGTTAGTTAATATTTCCAAGAATTTTCATCGACTATGTCTGGGATTATACTACAAGATGTTTGAAAGAAAGCTATTACATCTATATCAAAATTTTCGGAATATATACATTGGCTTTGGAAGGCTGATTTTGTTAATAATTCGTTTTGTTGAATAGCCGCCACATCATCGGCTTCAGAATCATATTCATTTTCATCAGGGATAAATTCTGAACCGCCGGATTGAAATGGTTCAGGCTTGGACATTTCCAAATCACTCATTAGTATTTTTTTTTAAAGAGATAGGTGGTCAGCATAAGCCTCTAGCTGCGTTTTGTGCCTCCGACGCTTGGCAAAATATAAATCTAAAACAACTAATCTTACGACGACGTATCGTCAGCCGGGATACTGTATCCCTACTATGTCTCATTGTGTAACCTTAAAAAATTTGAAAAGCGTTACGGCCGGTGCCGGTACGTACACTTTTTGTATCTCAAACTATTTCAAACAGTTTGAAAAAGTTTGATTTCAAATCAAGCTATTTCAAACAGTTTGAAAAAGTTTGATTTTCAAATCAAATCAAATTCTTTTATAAAAAAAACTTGATTTTTCAAGTCAAATCAAACTTGACTTGTCAAATCAAACTAGTTTGATTTGATGCATCTCTAGAGAAAACACAATTATCGCTGTCATGTCTTATGTGATTTTTTGAATATAAAATAATTTTTTTTAACCACTTTGCTCAGGATAGATTGGCACAGGTGAAATTTGGTAAAGTACATTGTTGTTACATGTCTTTGGAGGATATTTCATTTAGTTATCAGATGGCGGCCGTAATTTGCAGTGGGCTCTCTTACTATAACCAATTAGACATTTCAACGACCTGTCAAAAAGTAGCTGCCACCACAGAAGAAAGAACCAGAAAAGAAAGTAATGGTCGGAACTTTGAAGTTGAAGGAATAGAAATATTTGACCTTGAGTTCCACCACAGAGATACTCTGAGAAAACGTAATTATTCACAGTACACGCGAACGTAGCTATTCACTGAACCTACACTGCGAAAAATTACATTTCTCTTTTACATAATTATGTGTCATATTTTATGAAAATTGCAGGAATGTATTTAAAACTATTCTCGAATTAAGTAAATTATTTTTTGATTTGTAGCACTTTAGACAGAGATTTCAAAAATAAAAATTATAAAGTTTTAAACAATAGTTTATTTTACCCTGTCATAATGAACTATTAATATTGTGCCACAAATCTCACTAGTCATTTATGATCCATAAGTATAAACCAATTGAGATAATTGTTAAAAAATCATTAGCTAAAGCGTATTTTAGGGATTTTATAAATAAAAAAAAAAAGAAAAATATGAAAACGTGTATTTATGCAATTGATAAGTTTACAATCAAGTGCATGTATTTTATTAAAATAGAATTGTTTGAAAATTAAAATAATTAAAATTGTTTACACAGATTTATAGAGCAAGCCTAATCTACAGGGTGTCTGTAAAAGGTCTTTACAAAAACATACCACATATTCCTTGGACCAAAATAAGTCGATTTAAGTAAAATTACCTTTGTACAAAGTTGCTTCGTTTGGGCTCCAAAGGGCCTTGAAGTTACAATTTTTAAATCGTTTTTCCCATATAAATTTAAAACGGCATATGCGATTTTGCTGAAATTTGGTATATTGGTAGAGTTTCATGTGGTAAAAAAAATGGTAATAAAATTTTGTCTAATAGTAGTATATAGGCGTAGAACTTGATTTTTTAAATAATTGCACCTTTAAAAATTCTACGCCAATGGAAGAAAAGAAGTTTGAGTATGAAATTTAGATTGCGCAACTTATTTACTTTAAAAAAGGTACTCTTGAGACTCGATTACTCTCATAGTTTTCGCTTAATTTCTGTTTTAATAATTTAGAGTGTATAGGTTTCAAAAAAATATTTATTTACAACATAATCAAAATAGAGATTTTACAAAAATTATTCAAAATTTTCACCATTTTCACGCATACAAAGATTTATACGTCGAGGAAAATTAAAATGTATCCTTTCCATAACTTCTTCATCACCTCTAAGATTGTTTATTGCATCTTGAATACGTTGCCAGAGTTGTTCCTCATTTTCTACAGGTTCCCTGTAAACTGTGGATTTCAGTGTCTTCATAAAAAGTAATCCATCAGTGTTAGGTCTGGGCAACGTGGTGGCCAGTTTACAGGTGCGTCATTACCTCTGTCTATCCATTTGTGTGGATATTGTTTATTCAAGTGGTTTCTAACGTTTAAAGGAAAATGTGGTGGAGCTCCATCTTGCATAAACCACTTATCTCTTCGAAGTTGGAGTGGTAAATCTTCTAACAATTCTGGCAACGTATTTTGTAGAAAATCCAAACAATTTTCTCCAGTTAATCTTCGTGGAAGTATGACAGGACCAACAATGAAATTACCAATTATTCCAGCCCACACACTAATTTTGAATTCGTGCTGAAAATGGTTTACCTTTATTGCATGCGGATTTTCAACGGCATAAACATGTTCATTATGGGTAATAGTTATACCTCTTCTTTTAAAACCCGCTTCAGCGGTGAAGGGAGCCTTCTTGACAAAGTTTGGATCTCTTTCTCTTTGCATATTAACAAATCGACAAAAACCCAAACGAATTTGAGGATCATGGACTAATAATTCTTGTACTGGCTTCTTATGGTATGGATATAGCAATTGTTCTCTAAGCACTTTATGAACGACATCTCTACTTACTCTTAGTTCCCTTCCAATTCGTCTGGTGCTTAATTCTGGATCTTCTTCAACACGTTCTAAAAGTCTTCTTCAACTTCAGGAATCCTTACAAAACGTTCTATTCCATTATCAACAGTGTTGGGAGCAAAGGAACCGGTCTCCCGAAGACGTCACTCAACAGCAGCAAAAGTTGGGTGGCTAGGTACACGACGATTTGGAAACTTTTCAGAGTACACCCTGACACTCTCTCGAGCATTTCCTTCACAAAATTCTAATGTCAGTAACATATCGGTATATTCTGCATTGGTATATTGTACAGCCATATTAATAAACCACGCATTTGTTTTTTTAATTATTGAGTCAGATAGAACACTTTCAATCGTTAACAAGAAATTAGGTGTTAAAACTTGACAATATTTTTATTTAGATGAAACTATGGAAACCAACAATAAATGTTTTTGTATACGTATTGCAGGCAAATAAATAATATTCCTCAAAAAATCGTACATGGCAAGAATCGAGTATTTTTGTTAAAAGTATCGATTAGAGGTGTTGAAGAAGATATAAAAAAGTACATTTTTATGTTTTTCATCGTATAAAATTATGTCCGATAATAATACATAGGCGTAGAACTTGATTTTTTAAATAATTGCACCTTTAAAAATTCTACGCCAATGGCAGAAAAGGGGTTTGAGTATAAAATTTGGATTGGGTACTCATTTACTACAAAAAAGTACCTTTGATAACACTCGATTTACTCTCATGGTTTTGACAAAGTTTGTATTTTAATAATTATTGTTTATGTTCTAAAATTACTAAAATGCAAATTTCGTTAAAACCATGAGAGTAATCGAGTCTTATCAAGAGTACCTTTTTTAAAGTAAATGAGTTGCGCAATCTAAATTTTATACTCAAACTCCTTTTCTTCTATTGGCGTAGAATTTTTAAAGGTGCAATTATTTAAAAAATCAAGTTCTACGCCTATGTAATATTATCGGACAAAATTTTAATATCATTTTTTTTGCCACATAATGCCAATATACCAAATTTGAGCAAAATCGCATATGCCGTTTTAAATTTATATGGGAAAAACCATTTAAAAATTGTAACTTCAAGGCTCTCTGGAGCCCAAACGAAGCAACTTTGTACTAAGGTAATTTTACTTAAATCGACTTATTTTGGTCTAAGAAATATGTGGTATATTTTTGTAAAGACCTTTTACAGACACCCTTTATAATACATAGATAAGTAGCTTTATTAAAATAGCTATATCCTAATATACAAACGAAAATATAGAATAATTATATAAACGGTACTTATAAAAAATATTAAATAATGAGTAGGTAATTATTTTTCTTCTTTTTGCACCAAACAAACGTTTTCTCAACGTTGCTGTCTTCAGTCGCAGTCTCTGCTTTCTTGGCGTGTTTGATGATAACACATTACTCGTTTGAATTTGTGCTATTACACAAGGTAGAGAAACAGATGGTTGACTATGCACTTGTTCAATGAATTCTACTTCTGCTGAAGTTGAGGGTAGACACAAGTTATCTTTGCCTTCTTCGCCATGAACAACAAATTCCTCTAAAAAAGAAAGAGAAACCAAATTTTTATCAGATCAACTGGTGTCAAGAAAGTGCATTATTTGTCAGAATTAAATGTTTGAGTCACACTTTTTAGCCAGATGAAATTTAAAATAATTTCATAAAATGTGAATATATTTCTGTGCCTAGGAAGTAAACTGCACTGTCATTCTAGTCAACTTTTTAGTACAGCAGATTGAATGTTGTTAAATTATTAAATTTCAACTAGATATGTATTTAGACACCCATTTATTGTCACAATATTTATATTTTTTACTAATCTTAACTACTAAAGCTACTTTATTTTAATTTACATAACTTGTTGTATGTCGTCATAGTGCAGTTTACCTCCGAGGTAGTTCTACAAAATGGAATGTATGGGTTAATATTCTAAGATTATTAGTACTTATCATTTTATTTTTTAAACTACTAAATGTAATGTAAAAAAAATGACAAGACGACTAGCAAACTTTTTGTAACATTTAACTATAAATTTTATTTATTTACCTTGCAAAACTGACTCTTTTTGTAGATTCTGAATAGGAAAATACTGTTGGGAATGCATCTGCAAATAATCGTTTTCTTGTTCCTGACTGATAAACGAATTTATCCTGGAAGTGTAGTTCACAAATTTTGTAATTTTTACTTAAGTGTTCAACACCCTTTCCCAATAAGTTCTCTCTATTTGCTGCCTTAAGCCACAATTCAAGTCTGAAAAATACATACAATCATTGTACTACCATGTTATGGCAAGGTCAATTCCTATTTCACCCTCAAGGTTTCATACCTACCTCACTTGATCTTTCACAAGAGTGAACAATCCTTCTTGGCCACCTGTTCTTGAGGTACATCCACGATAAATACAAGCATATCCTCCTCTTTGATGCGGCATTGTTTATAAACCTAATCTTAATACGTACAATAAAGTCTTAAATTAACAACTCCACAATTAAAAACATCAACAAAAACTAAAAATAAACCACTAAAAAAACGTAAAAGTTATCAGTATGTTCACTAAAAACAACCAAAAATCCAAAACGACAAATAAAGACACGACAGGAAAAAATATTGATTTTCTAACAGCGACAGTAGTGACAGCTTAGTTTATCTGCTATAAAAGTGTGCACAGTTGCACTTCGAACAAGTAACAAATCTACGGTTCAATTTTGACAATGCATGAAGAAGGTGTGGCTTCGGTTGCTAGGTTCTTATTTTAGCCCTATGTTTCTTTTCTGTGTTATTCTTTATCCTGTGCTGCCAGTGAGAAGGTCTGGTATATCTAAGGGGGTAGCGACATATTCTTAAATCTTGAACACATTTTTTATTCGAAATAATAATCACCAAGTCTACTAATTTATGAAAAAAATGTGTAAGCGGTTTCTTATTTTGATTATTATTTTTAATGTATTTGACCTAAAACATTTTAATGTAATCCATTATTCATGATTTTACGTATTGTAAACAGAATACATCGTATGTCACAACCCTTGGATATATAAAATCTTCCCACTGGCAGTTCATTTGTTTAAAATGCCTAATACAATATATGACAACCACCTATATTCAAACAGCAGTCTTCTGCGCATCCAAAATTTGTATCCCTGGAGTGGATTTTATTTTGGAACATCCAATTGGCCCGAGTGAGCTAACTGATTCTTTAGCTATAAACTGTGTCAACACGAAGTTGATATTTTCGCTAACCAGTGAAAAAGGCGTTTTAATTAGAAAATTAAGACAATTCTAACGAGATGATCCATAACATGAAACAACTTGTAATTAGGCTAGTTGCTTTCAATAAAGTTGTGCAAAAAATCATGCAAACATTAGCTCAGAGAAGGCTCCGGAATATGACCTTAATATAGAAGAAACTGACAAGAAAGGCTATCATTGTCACACTATTTCTTGGTAAACTCAATTTATTTCCAAACTCAAACTTTTATAATTAATATCGCCGTACAACGGCTATCACAACAACTGAGACATTTAGCTACCAGAATTCCTTCACTCGCAAATTCTTTACTTTTTACAAAAAGCTCACATGTAAACCGTATGATTTATTGCTAAGCCTCGCCGAGACGACAACTTCAGAATTTGGGGGTACTACTATATCTTCGTCCACTAGGATCTTTATCGGTTGAGCCTTTTTCTCCGAATTTAGGGAATTTTGATCATTCCAAATTACCAAAATCTTATTTTGAAGGTCAACGATTGTTTTTATTAAAGATATAAGTGCTAATTTTAGTTAAGCCGGCTCCTGTCCTGATATTTATTCGTTTCTTTGTTTTCCTAGAAAGCCGGCTAAGTGTGGGTGACAGCTTTCTCCGGTAGGCATACCAGGCTGTTATTATTTCGGACTAAAAATAAAATCTTAAAAGGAATAAGTACTTTTCTATGTTAACAAGCTCTTTTACTCACAAATCTTGGGAAAATGGAATATAAAAATGCACTTTTTACCAAAATATATTATGTTATTTGAGTTTTAATATCATGTTTCCGTATCGTTGGCATCTATAAGTTTTTGGAAAGGGCCACACGATGGTGTTTGGGTTCCATTTTTTGCGAATTGTCCGGATAAATTATTTTTTTCAAGCAGCTGTTAGCAGGAAGGAAAAGAAAAGAGAATTGTATTGTCATTATTTTTAATATTATATGTATTTCATTGTTAGGGATTAAATGAGAATAAAGGAAAATAAAAAAGGATAGATTAGATTAGACTAGATTAGGAGTTGGACGTTATTTGTCCTTATCCACCGCGACCTTTTTAGATCTATTGTGGGACTCCGTTTGTTTTAGAGTATGTTGTCTAGCCTGTTTTTTTTTTATTAGACTTAGTAGCTTTGACAGTGGCTCCCGCATGTAGTTGCATGCATTTGGCTTTTCTTCGCCCAATGTTAAAAACCTCCTTCCAGCCAGGCCTTCACATTGGCACAGGACGTGGAATGATGGTTCCTTTTCTATTTCACAGAACCTGCAAAAAGTTGCTTCTTCTGCTGGATTTATGACACTTATATGCCTATTGAGGCGACAGTGTCCAGTAAGAAGGCGTACTGTTATACTAACGATTTGACGCTTTTGATCCAGTAGGTCTTTTGTGAACTTGGTCAAAGGTTCCTTAATGAACTGTTTGGCCTGTCTTAGTCTTGAATAGTTTTTCCACCATTCCTAAGACTCTTTTTGCATCCATTATTTAATGGATGTCTTGCACAATGCCTTAGCAACTCCACAGGAGGGGAGGGCTAGGGGCCTGTCATGGCCTTATTTGAGCCTTTTCGGGCTAATTCGTCGGCCTTTTCGTTGCACTGATATCCTTCATGGCCTGAAACCCAGGCTAGGGTCACCCTATTTTGACTACTTAGCTTTATCAGGTCATTTAGACAGTCTTTCACCATTCATGATTTTATTTCTGGTGAGAGAATTGCCGTTAGAGCTGCTTGGCTATTAGAGTATATGGCAATGGTTTTGCCTGTTACTTGCTAATTTAATATTTCTCTTGCACAGTGTTGTATGGCTATTAGCTCAGCCTGGAACAATGTTGCATGTTTTCCTAAAATCAGCGAAATCGTTGATACTGACTTGGGTCCATAGATTTCAGCACCGGCTGCTTTCTTGATTTTTGAACCGTATGTCTACCAGACTAGTTCAGCCTGTACGGGAGGTCCCTGTTTCCAGGATTCTTGGGCTGGTATTTAAATTTGAAAATTTCTTTCAAATTCGTATGTGGTTATGGCTAGAATATTATCCCTTTTTACTTGCTGGTCGGCGCTATTTAGTTGGCTTATTGGGTTTTGTCCCTACATTAGCCTGTGAATAGCTGACCTGGTTTCTCCTTGTATGAAGATGTGCAGTAGCGTGAGATTTAATAATACCTCTATTGCTGCAGTCGGCGTAGTGCGGATGGCCCCAGTAGCACTTAGACAGGCAAGCCACTGAATGCTAGTGAGTTGGCTTATTGCACTTGCCTGCACTGTTTTCGTTACATACGCCACTGCGCCATAGGTTATCATGGGTCTTATTACCCTTCTGTATAACCATATGGTCATTTTGGGGTTTAAACCCCAGTTTTTCCCACATTTTCTTCTACAGCTTACGTGAGCTATTATAGCTTTATGTGTTAGTTTTTTAAAATGCAGGTTCCATGTCAGGCTTTGATCAAATAAGTCATATTTGATCAAAGCCTGACGTGGTATTTGGCTTCTGTGACGAATGGGATAACTGTGTTGTTTAGTACTAGTGGTCTAAGACCTGTAAGTACCCGTTTTTTTTGTGAATGGTACAACTGTTGTTTTTTGTGCGTTAATGGACAATTGTTCCTTTTTGCACCAGTTGTTTACTATGTTTAGAGCTGTTTGAGATCGCTCCAAAGGATATGAAAAGTGTATATTTAAAAAAGCTAGTATAAAAAAGGAGAGCGGTGGTGGTTGGTGCATAAGTGCTCTAAAGCTACAAAACTGCCAAATAATGCAAGTATCTATCTCATCTACATTTCGCAAAAATTATTTTTTTTATTATTAATTTCAATTATGAAATGTGTGCACTGCTTCGCTTGGGCCGCCGCGTCGTCCGCTCATCGACTTCTTTAGTTGTTCTAGTCTCAGATAAAACAAATGAATATTAGATGGTTTAGATCTGTTTAAAGCCAGTAGAAACCGTTTTTTTTTTATTACTTCCTCTTTATAAATAGCAGTGTCAAAATTTCTCACAATTGTCAACAAGCATTTGGGAACTGTCAAATTGTCAACAAGCATTTGGGAACTGTCAGTTTTTTTGGACATTTTTTCTGATTTTATATTCCCAGGGCATAATTTTAAAGGTTTTACAGTTTCCGAGTTTTTTAATGAATTTTATTCATTGTGAGTCTGAAAATTACTATTCAATGTTTTTTGCCCTAAAACATATATTTGGAGAAGTTCACGTCGTTTCAAAGGTAAGTAAATAAAAAAATAGGCGGTACACGTATATTGTAGAATATTATAAGTAGTCTTTTACGAAAGTTTTCTAAAA